CACACACACACACACACACACACACACACACACACACACACACACACACAACACACACACACACACACACACACACACACACACACACCACACACACACACACACACACACCACACCACACACACACACACACACCACACACACACACACACACACACACACACACACACACACACACACACACACACACACACACACACACACACACACACACACACACACACACACACACACACACACACACACACACACACACACACACAATCATCTAATAGAACACTTCAGCAGCATGAAAGATAAGGCATATCTTTACAGATTGTGTTGATCGAGCCAGAAGATTAAATGGTTTCAGTCAATGATATACAAAATAAAATCGAATGTAAATGGACATATTGAATCAGAGCACGAAACCATTCTGAGATGTTCACTTCAGAGAGAAAAGAGAAAAGATGAAGATAAATATCAGCATGCTTTATCTAATAACTACAACATATGTCATTTGGCAGAACGCAGCAGAGGAATCTGCCAATTTCCACATTGAATAAACTGCACTGATACAGTAAGAGCCATTTTCTCATACTGATATTCTGAACAATCTGTGCTGTTGTTTTTGCTGTAAAGTGTCTCTACTGTAGGCTATTTTATTATATGTACAGCACTTTGGCTCGACCAAAAATCGTTTATAAATGTGCTATATACATAAAACTTGATTTGATTTTGATTTGATTTGATTCGTCATTAATGCAGGACTCTGCAAGAAAGTTCACCTTAAATGTCTAACAGTCTACCTTAAACCTACACCTACTGAAATACAAATTATATTACGAGAGAGCTGTTCAAAGAGCAGGGATCTGACACTATCCACCAACAGCTCACAGAACAGTAAGGAAGTGGCCTCTACCTAATCCATTTAGCTGATAGTACTGCAGGCAAAGTCCAAAACCCGGAGAAACAAACTTTGTTTCCAATATTTCAGAATGATGTCTGTCTTATCGCTGCTTATGAAGCACTTTAAAGTTCTTATATGTATATTCCACATTTAAATGCAATGCTGACATACTTTGGACTTTGCAGTGGCCACATTTTGCTGACATTACTTTTACGTCTTTATGTGTTACAGCGAGGGACCCTCCTGTGCCGCTCATTGAATGACAATGAGTTAAGTCTTGTGAGATAGGTGTAAGTTTGTGATTTTTGATGCCAGACATAGTCCTATAGATAAAAATAAAATAACTTAAATCTGCCATTAAAAGGTTACAGCACAGGGCTATCATCACTAAAACAATGCATCCGTATTCAAAATCACTCTTAGCTGCAAAGACGAATCATTACTCTTTTAAACTAGGCAGTATCATTGCAACATGCATGATCAGACTTGTAGCAAAGTATCTTACGAAATCCAGCACTGAAACGCAATACTATAGTCACTGTAGTCCAATCTTTCACAATAAAGGATTTGACAATGATCTTCTTTGGAAGTGTCCTTACCACAAGTAATTTTGATCATGCAGTTTTCTACTCACCATTAGATGCAGATGGTTTGAGTGTTCGTTCATCTGTGACTTTCTGTATGTTCAGAGTGGCCCACTGTAGAGGACACACAGACAGGAGACATTTATGGTATCTGCATAGCCTAAGGCATGTACATCTGTGAGAAACACAAAAACAACAGTACCTCTAAGGTTTTCACCAGGATGTTCATGTAGGCCTCAGAGATGCCCAGTGAGAAGCCAAACATGGCAGGGACCATGATGAGGCCGATGAGGAGGCACAGCCAAGTCTTTAGTGCCCAAAGGGCAAATACCCAGAAGTCCTCCATGTCCACCTGATTCCCTGAGGAACAAGAACAGCCTGTGGCTCAGAAGGCAGTCCTGTATGTGGAGAAAAGGGTGTTTATTTTAGTCATATAAGTTCACCATAGTCACCCAAATAAGATAGATATATCATTTATACAATCACTTGTCACACTAAGAAGGTCAACAAGAATCACAATGACATGCCCACAAAACTAATATCACTCATCATACACTCATAGTTAATTTAATCAGGAGTAAACACACGCGCGCAAACGCACGCACACACACACACACACACACACACTCTGACGATCACTGACGATCACTATCACATGTAATGTAATCCTGCGAAGGTAAACAAATCCATAAATAACCAAACTATGACAGGACCCCTCTATTATTAAACTACAAGACTCTATAAGACCGAGTTGTTCATGTTTTCAAAAGCCTTTACAAAACTTACATCGGCTCATTTTACCTGTCAGAGTTCAGTCCATGCCCTTCCTTCCCGAGGAGTAACTCAAAGGACTGAGCAGCAGGAGTAAACACGCCCATTTATGACTAGAACAAAGTTCACAGAGCAGCGCCTCCTGTGGACAACTGGAGAAGTGCAGACACGTGGCTCATTGTTCATGAGTGTGGGAAAATACAGTTCAAATTTTATTTTCAAATTGTTTCTATAGAGTTTGTGCTTGGCTGAGTTGTTTTTTTTGTAATCATAGTTAGTATTTTGCTGTATTAAGGCCATTTGTACAAAAGAGATTTTGATAAAGATAAAGTGTAAATACAAGAACACAAAATGTCATAATAAAATACAAGAAAATAAAACCAAATCTAAGCTAGTTGGTTCATTCCTGAATCGCAGAATTAATACTAATTCCATTAGTGAGGTCAACTTTGTTTCGGTGAAAGCATGTTTATGTTGCAGGTTACGCATTAACTTTAATGGATAAGGATATAGGGATTTTCAGTTTCTTTTGTCATTTGAGAGCATATTTTAAAAACTCAGCTTGCTAGTATTACTGTATGTAGTGCTACAAACTTGTCTGACAGCACAACACAGAAAAAACCTTGATGAGGAATGTAGCCACACGCTCTCCCTGTATAAAAGCTTTTCTCTCCCACCTAAGACTAACATAAGGTCCTGATTATTTTCCAGGTTCAGATATTTCACAGTCTGTTGCACATTACTGTAACAGGAGACTTCAGGGGGTCAGTTAGAGTAATGTCTGTGAGAATGATAACAAGGCACTTGGCAAATGCATTTGTATGAAGAAAGCGGTCTGTCTGTCTATCGCAGTAACATAAAGGGATATAAGCCAAAATATATGCAATGCAATAATGCGATTCATGTCTGAAATTGTTTTCCTTGTTTCACTTTTAGCAAAAAAAATTGCAATTACCAGTAATTAATTTAGTGTTATTTCTGTTGATCAATTCTGATAATTGCCAGGCTTGTAATTTCACACCAGATACAGACATTCCAGATGTGTGTTAAAACAGGAGCCAACAACACACTATTTGTCCTCTAATGTTAGGGTGTGCTGCTCCAGTGAGGCTGTGCTTGTTAGTTCTAACATGTGTTATCTTAAAACTTCAACATACACAACAGTTTGTACAATACAGCTTCTGTTGCATGGCGGTTTTATTGGGTCCACATAAGAGGAACACCCCAATGTGGCCCATTAGTGTTGCTGGTGGTGGACTGAGATCAATAGTCATTATCTGTGGGGAACAGTGGTTTACTCAGTTATTTTAAGGGGAGGTCTTCATTCTCATCAATTATCTCCTCTCTACTCCAAAAACATTCCTGAGGGATTGTTTGGAATTGTTATTAACAACTATATCTTCAATGCCCTTTAAACTCCACAGTTTAATGAGTCCCCTGCATTATCTGCCTTTGTGTCTCCCATGCACCACAAAAATGAGGGAATGAATGCGTCATGTCTCAGTAACCACTTAATCACAGATGATTTTGCTCGAGGGATAAATGTTAGACACCTGAAGCAGCAGTATTTTCTGAAAGGGGTTTCAACTTTCAGAGGATACGCCCCAGAAAAAGCCTTTCACCCTGAGCTACATTATGCTGTGATCTTCAGGAGCTTTAATGTTCCCTGGAAATAATAAATAATAATTCATTGGGCTATTCTACAGTGCACAACTAACATCAGACATGTTTGTCCACTTTTACAGTGGAACTCAATGGAAGCTGGAAGTAAAGCCATGCATATATTTAAGTGTGAAGGTCTTCTTCGCATCGAGCTTTCTTGAATCCATTACAATCCTGCACACTGGAAACAATTCCTGGTTGATACAAACTGATGCATGTCAATATAGACATCATTGTTTAAAAGCTACAGAAGCAACAATATTTGTCCTTAATTCTAAATAAAACATAAGAATGCATGTGGTTTGTTCTTCACGGAATTAAGAGACCTCACACCAAATAATCTAATATTTAGTATAGTATGCAAAAATGCAGATGAAATATCTTTTTTTTTAGGGTTTTGCTATATTTCCCCAACCTTCCATGCCCCAGACTCTAAATCACTAAAAGTTATGGAAGTTTAGTTAGTATACAATTAAATTACTGTGCATCTACTAAAGAAACAATGTCAATATTAAGCATTTATTTTAATTTCTGTTTGTAAGTGTTGGTTTCTGAATGACAAGTATTTATTATCATGGCTGATATAAGATATGTAATTCAAAACAAATTACATATCTATATATATCTTAAAAATTATATAAATTATATATCTTATATATATCAGCCAACAGTATAGATATGTAATTTTGACTGAGGAATGAAGACTGAGGAATGTTACGTGGGATATTTAGACATTTTATGAGGCTAATTTGAAAACTTCGGACAAAACTGTTTCACTTTTTACCGCTGATATTTCTTGAAAATGTGACTAACACTAATGTAGGCAAAACTATACTTCTCCTTCTTGGCACCCACAAGTCCGACGTAATTTGCTCCAGATTTATTTTATAAGTGGCAGTAAATTGCCTCGCGTTAATGATGCGCCGCTGGTGCAGGATTTGGTGCAAGTCTCGACACATGACAGAGCATGCTGCTTCATCCAGATCAATGGAGCTTCCTCCTCCTCGCTCCCCCTCGCTCCTGCAAAGGAAAGTAGACACTGGCCCCGAGAAAACTCCTCCCCTCCTCTCCTCCCGCAGAGCTGGAGCTTTCTCCCTCTTCAAACCTCGATCCGGCTCCCAGTCTTGCTCGGTGCTTGTCTGCCTTCGCGAGGGGAGATTTCTGAACGTGTCCATGTCATGACACAGGACAGCGCAGGATCGAAGTGGTCGCCTCTCAAGCCACTGGAACCACAGTGCACAGGACTCTTTTGCAGTGGTTTGAGTTTGGTTACATGAAATATGCGATGTTTGCAAGAGTGCCCGGTTCTTTTTCTGCTACACTTTGTTTTCATTCTGGCAGCCAGCCACATAGAGCTCTCCGACTCTGGCGGACTCTTCTCCCTGTTTGCAGAACAAGGTCAGTGTGATGCAGTTGTTATTGAACCTGCACTTATGTGCATGTATAATGCATTCATCATGACTGTAGAAATATGCATGGTTTAGTGCACATGAATAACAGTAAGCATTACAGGTACAAATTAATGCATCACAACTGATTTCTATTGTGTTACATTTTATTCTGCAGGTCAGTTGTCAGAGTCAGATCTATCCACTGTTCACCCAGTGAAAACCACAGCTGATGGAGAGTTCCTCTCCCACTCTCTGGCTCACCACTTCAAAGGTGGGCGAGTCAGGCGTGACCTGCGACCCCTTGGTTTGGAGGGACAGGTTTACTACAAGGTCAACTACAAGGGTCGCGCTTTAATGTTTAATTTGACTGCTAACAATCACCTGGTTTCAAGTGGCTACATCCTGGAGAGGAGGAACGGCAGTGCTAACAGCACTGAGCATCGTGGCGCTGACAGGAACTCCTGCTACCTCCTCGGCACAGTGGAAGCCCCCGATGTGTGGGGAACTGCTGCCATCAGCACATGTAAAGGATTGGTAAGGAACCACACTGTCTGACATGCATATCAAGGGAAACAGATTTTTAAACCTCCATCTCATTCATCAATTTGAGTCCTATGATCCACTTTAAGAGTCCTTCACCCTCCACTGACAAAATCTAGTTTCTTTTGACAGGCAGGTTCTTTAATACACAGGAGAAAGGGGGCATCACTCTGGGGAAGCTGGTATGTGGTTTAGGCACTCATATTCTGTTGAGCAAACCCTTCCATCTGACAGTGCCCTGTGTGTTAGTTTGCCCTTCAAAGACTTCCTGACAGTATTTGCAGAACGACTGTGCTGCAGACCCACTGACGGCTACTGCTTCTCGGCCAACCATAAGACCCTTTCTGTCTTCTTTGTCCTCTGATGTTTCCCTCTGTACTTTCACCCTCACTAATTCATTGATTAATTTCACTCTGCAGCCCCCCTTGGACGTGCAGTGTTACTTTGTTCTCTGTTGAGATAGAGCTTCAGTAATAGATTTTGGCAATTTCTTTACAGACTGGAACAATACGGTCTGACAGATGGAGAGACCAGAAATAGGGCCATATGTTTTGTTCAGAGAATCTGTGCTTTATAACTTTGACTGAAATGTTTTTAATCAAAAAAGAAGTTCAACTACAAAGAAGAGAAAACAGCTGGTCAGCAGATAGACAAAGGAGCAGCTGAGCATATGAAACGTTTTGATTATTAGAAGACACGACCAATTCTGGAGAAATGTATGGTGCACAGACTATGAGTATTTTAGACCTTTAATGTCCAAATAAGAGTTGAAATACACTCTTCCCCATATAGCACCCCAAATTGGATGAGGTTGTGAAAAGGGAAGAACTTCCTCCTCAGAAAAAATGGGATGTGTCAGTTTTAGTCATGAAGAAGGCTTTGGTGTTCGTGTTTGATTTTGTCACAGCAGGAATGCCTCTCCTGCAGGGTCTTGCCTCCTCCTCTGTTATGTTTGTGTGGGTTGCACTGCTTCTTCCTGCCAAATCCTGTAAATGCATATCATTAGAAAAGTGTGTTATGTCACTCTAAATTCCAATTATCGACAACCTACCGCATTGAGAGGATTTATATCCGCAATCCTAAATGCTCCAGTGTGTCCCTTCTCTCCAACCTACATGGGAAACCACCATGATGTATTACACTGATTTTCTGCTCTGTAGAAGAAGGTTTACTGCAGCTTAAACCACAGAGAGAGACCACTAAACATGAGGCTCGGCCATGCAGATGTGGGAGGGAAACCCTGCCAGCTGCTGTGGAGGTCATTCCCCCCTCAGGAGACAGATAGAGATGGACTACTTCAAAAAATAGATTCATGATAATATTTTGTTTATGTTGCACTAGCCTGGAGTTACTTAAGGCTTTAAACAAACATAAGGAACAAAAATGAAATTACTTGTTTTGTAATTGTCTTATATGTTCAATCAACTTTTATAAAGGACAAAAAACATCAGCAAATCTACAATTTAAATAAGCAGAGCCCAGCAATTTCTTGACAATTTGCTTGAAAAATGATTGAAATGAGAATGATATTTGCATTGATATACTAATAGACAAATCTACTTATTGTTTAATCTCAAAAACATGGATAATTAGTTAAAGATGGCTTCAATAGTGCACTGCTAAGTACCTCTTGCGTTGATCAACACGATTAAAGTCTCATATTTAAATTGCCCTTGCCTTTGTTGGTGAAGCAAATGACTTAGTGATATGTTTGCAGACTTGTCAGGAAGCAGCTGTGTACATGCGTTTAGTAGCAGGCTGGTTGTCCTGACTCCTGATCTGTCACCTGGCTGTGTTTGGTGGACTAAACAAAAATAATTGCGACCGGTACAGAGCAGGTGAAGGATTATGACTTTTGAAAGCCTCAATATGGGCTTTACAACTTCAATCACAGCACTTAAACTACCACTGCTGGTTGAGAAACATTGCCTCAACAAATAGAGCTGTGCTGCAGTGTGCCGTATATACTTTACAGGTGATTATGACCTGACGAAGTTCACCTTTACTATTCTCTGTACATGTCAAACTATGAAGTTGAGTCATTTGATGGGGGCCGCTGTTACTTTTTTGTTCCCGAGGGAAAACTTTCAATTCAGGAAAGGACAAAGATTTCTCAGCGTAGTCTTTGGTAATCCCTGAGGCACAGCACAAAGATCATGCAAGTTCAGACCTGTTGAAGTGGTATTTTCCCTACTTAAATGCATATTTCGTACTATGCAGATGAAAAAGGATAACGTCTTTGACCTCTGAGGAGGTAAGAAATTAGCCCACGGGCACAATTGTCTTGTGAAGTAAAACAAATTAAACTGTAGGCAGTGAAACCAGTAATTAACAAGAATGAGTTGTGGTGGAATAGATGCAAGTTTAGAAAATAGTTGTGATTAATCATATTGCAGTAATGAGTATCATCTACCCCCCCCCCCCCCCCCCCCACCTCTCCCTGGGTCCCACTAATCCCTGCTGAGGCCACAGGCTGTGTAACAGCAGAGACTTTATTCCAGACCCAGTTGGCCAGCACTACAAAACCCACAGAAGCAGGAAACGGAAGTAAAGCAGTTCCACATGGCCATCTATTTGGAACACAGACCTGTGTTATGGTAACCTCCCCTGGCTCTGGCACCTCACACCCAACACGCTTCCTCTAGGTGAGAGGAGAGGGATTCATGGAGAGGAGGGGGAGAAGGGCAAGAGGTGGTGAAAGTGAATGGCAGTCCAATGCAGAATGAGTTGTCAGAGCATTACCATTCAATCCAATCCAATCCTCTATTTTTAAATGGAAAACAAAGTCCTAGTTGGTATCCTTTGAAGTTGTCTTTGATTGTTGAACACAGGCATCACACAGGATCTGTACATGGTCATCTAAGGATCGCAAGTAACACCATAACCAAGAGAGTGCACAAGCAGAGCCTTGTAGGCTGCGTTGCACAGCAGGACTGCATTTGGTATGCAGATCATACAGATCACGCAGAGCATTGGTCTGAATGTTTAGATGGGCCTCTCCGTAGCATTCCTTCCTGGTTGCTCTGCACACCACCACCTGCTTCTCGCAGCTCGATTAGAAGTTTAACACTCAGGAAAACATATAGGAGACGGCAGGGAGGCACGATAACAGAGAGCAACAAGCATCCACCCTTATATGGATGCAGCCTGTCCTCCTACAAAAAACGACCATATAGGTCGATTGTTCAGCAGCTAAATACGACCCAGGGTCACGTTTTCAAGTGTAGCACCTCTAGTGGCCGTGTAAGAAACAACATGCTCCTGTCGATTGCAAACGCTCCGGAGGGTCGTTTATTCACAAATTACCCTCTGGAAAATCCTAAATTGTGGAATAGCTTGGCCATTAAAATGCTTTTTTATTAGATTTCTAGCGAGAAGTGTATATTGTACTTTTATAATCTACGTCCAGTGGATGTGTAGGATCTACAGTTTGATAGATATACGAAGATAATTTGAGGTCTCGCCAGGAGAACGTGTACTGTATATGTAAAGTTAGCATGGGTGAAAACAGTATTTCCGGTCTCGAAGTTTTCATAATAAAACCGGAAGTATTCCCCACACTGTCAAATGATTACACAGTGATATCTCCATTACTCATCCACTAAAAAACATCAGTTTATCCTTGTTAATTACACAATATTGATTGGTTTAAATTGTGTACAATGCTTTTGTGTTTTTAACCTTCGATTCGGAAAAACAAATAGTTTTTTCGGAGTTTAGACACTCCAGAGTTTCCGAAGGCACTACACTACCCAGAATCCCCAGCTATCGTTTGGGACTACAACATCCGCCTTGCTTTACAAACCCCGTGATTAGCCCTCAAGCTCTGTGATTGGATGTTGGAGTGGCAGTGCGACAAGGTTACGCCGAATGTCAAACAGCTCTTTGAAATGGAATGGAACCACGCCAGACTATCCAAAACTGGACTTGGACGGGTCCAGCCCAGCCCTCCCCCCCAGAATTACACATGCTGGCTATTGTGTGTTTCGCAATATGTTCTATGGCACGTCTCTACTGGGAATTGTAGTTTTATAAGACGTTTTCGTATTTCCCACAATTAGAAGTTGCCAGTATTAAACTGTATACATCCCTGGAGGTTTAGGGGATACGAAACACATTGGTGTTATCAAATTTAAAACATATCATTAATACATGGGTGAAAATAGCTTGTGCCCATAATGGGCAGCATTAATATACCCACATGACAGCTAAGGTCAGAAGAGCTTTATTTAACAGCTGGTCTTATGTCTGTGACCCCTCCTGTTGTTAATTGATAAGCCTGAAACATGCACTTGTCAAGGTTCAGATGCACATTTAGCAAATATGGCAGTAGCCATCGATCATCTTAAGATAAGATACTTTATTGATCCCAAGTTGGGAAATGTTTTTGTTACAGCAGCATGTACTACTTTGTTATACTCCACTACAATTCAGAGGTCAACCTGGTATTTTTACTCTACTACATTTATTTTTGTTACTTTGCAGATTCTGATTAATGATGTGAAATATAAACAACCCTTAAATCAGACTTTCGTTACACCTGAGTAAAATTCAGCCTTATCAGTTTGTCTGTTTTGCACATCCTCCTGTTAATATCTTTGGACGTCCTGCACTAAACTGTTTTATTGTAGAGATCACAGTATCTTCTTGATATTTTCTATTCTATATTTCTATCATTGACCCCTATTTTGTATGTAGGCTACTCTTAATATTGAAATGTTTTCATAAAAATTAAACTTATTCAACAACTAAATTCAATAACGTGCTTTAACCACTAGGAGGTACGGTTAAGACCAGTGGTCTAGTTAATAACACATAATAATATCAAACATAATATGACTATTCACTTTATTGTGAAATTAAAACAGAACGGTAAAGGAAAATACAGTTTCAGTCTCTCAATGTGAAGCTTATGCATTGTACCATAAACTTTTATAGACCTGTAACAGTCAACTGCATGAGGAGTTGGAAAGGTAGTTCAGAAAATCAGTAATATCTTTAAAAACTACAAAAAAATCCCTTTCTATCAGCTGTGCACCGTTATGGTGTAAATACAGACTATCTACTTATTGGATCAAATATAAAAGTCAGCCGAATTAGTGTTGATACTGCAAGGAGACGTATTGTGCGAAAAGAAATGGAAGATGTTGTTTAATTGTTGATATTTTATGGTCCACGTCACGTATTCAGTTTTGGCGGCATCTCTTCCAGTTTGTCAAAAGGTCTTCTGATCAGGGCTCTATAAATACATATCTACGGCAGATATGTAATATTTAATGCAGCCGAACCGTGTATTACAATGCCGTTATGTGATGACTTTCAAAGAGAAAAGCAAGAACACTCGGAATAAAGTATTATTTTATTTTTTTTAATGTTTTCCGATTTCATATCACATAAACACCATATCCCGACGTGCATTGCGGCGTGATTTTAGCCTATCAAAACCTCTGAAAAAAGAAATGTGTCTCTCAGAATCGAAAGAGAAAACCCTATGGGAAAAACACAAAAGCATTGTACACAATTTAAACCAATTAATGTCGTATAATTAACTAGGATAAACTGATGTTTTTTAGTGGATGAGTACTGCAGATATCACTGTTAAATCATTTGATCATTGGTTTTATTATGAAAACGTCGAGACCGGAAATACTGTTTTCAACCCGTAACTTTACGCTTGCCGCATATACACGTTCTCCTGATGAAACCTCAAATCATCTTCGTAATATCTATCAAACTATAGATCCTACATAACGACTGGACGTGGATTCTAAAAGTACAATATATACTTCTCGCTAGAAATCTAATCATAAAGCGTTTTAATGGCCAAACTATCCTACAATTTAGGATTTTACAGAGAGGGTTATTTGTGAATAAACGACCATCTGTAACGTTTGCATTCAACGGGAGCACTAGAGGCCGACAACTTTAAAACGTAATTATAGGTCGTATTAAGCGCTTGAACAAACGACATATTTGGTCGTAATAAGGGCTTAAACAATCGACCCATTTGGTCGTATGAGTTGGAGGACTTGTTGCATGGATGACAAGTTCTTCTACTATTCGTTTTGGCTTGTAGAAAGGAAATGCAAACAATTAATCTTAATCTGGTAGAACGTTTATCCTGGCAAAATGGATTGTATGCATGAGATACAGAGCTACAGAGAAATCTGCTGATTTTCTTCTGCACAAGTCCGTTGGGAAGCTTTCCCAGCTGACCGTATCAGCTTGCATGCTTTGTGGATGAGTCTAGCACAACTCAGGGACCCCTGGCTGCAGGCCACACTTTGAGTCAGTGGAAAACTCTGTCTTCATAATTTGTTTAATCAGGGTTCTTTAAAATAAAGCAAGCTCAGACATAAACGATGGACTTTTTATATTGTGTGCACGTTCCTCTTGTGGTTATTCATTGAACAAACAAGCCAGAGATAGCTTGGTTTCATCCTACAAAGTTTGTCTTATTTGACAAGGTTCAGTGTAACAGGTGGAGTAATATAGTCTTTCCAAAGGGAATGCCCTTCTAGATTTGTACTTTCTGAACTCTGTGAATAAAGCAATTGGATACTCCAGTCAGAGCTCTGCAGACTTCTGAATACTTGTAGTTTAAAAAACGTGTCCCAAGAAACACACATTAAAGTTGTCAGGAGGACCCAGAAAGCTGAACAGTGAGTAACTGCAGCCGGCAGCAGGGTAGACCCCTGAGACCACAACTGGCCAAACTATAAGCACTGCATGAACTTACTTTTCACATCTGCCTTTGGTTTCTATAAAAACACTGAGAAAAGATCCAAGAATAAGATGCAGAATCGTGTTCTAAGAATTATTTGTGTTGGTATGTTTGAATCAATATGTGTGCATGTTAAGTCATTTGCTTTTTTAAATTATCTTGGAGAAAATGTGTCTTCTGTCTTTTGCAAGTTGGTTTAGGGAGAGAAGGGAGGGTTCATCCGGGAACAGTCTGGGCTTGTTTGGAAACACACACACACACACACACACACACACACACACACACACACACACACACACACACACACACACACACACACACACACACACACACACACACACACACACACACACACACAACTTAATGATGGGAACTTGCAAACATTTATTTTAAGATAAAACATTCATATATGTGTGTTTACAAGAAAGAACACATTCGACAGAAGCCTTTTGTGTGTGTTATCGTCTACATCTTGTGTCTCTGTACACCAGCAGAACTCACCGATCAGCTAATGAATAGTCTGCACCAGTAAGAACATGCATGGCATACTTAGGGTAACGTCTTTTGTATAACTGCAGCAGACAGAGAATGTGCCTCGGGGAAGGAGAAAGAATAACATATTCAGATCTGTTGACTAATGATGGATTTCACCCTGATGGAAACTACTGAGGAATGGCTTTTCCACCAGGCTTTACAAGAGAAAGCTGAAGCTCTATCTCTGACTTTTAAATGTGGGAGTTTTTTTAAATGCTACAATTTTTGATTTGTTGTTGATTTGCATGCTAGCTAGGCTGTAACTTTTGTGTTTTCACAGTCTGAAAAAACATGACATTAAAAAGAGACTTAAAGCTGCATTATGCAAGATTTTGGGATCAGATTCATGATTTTTATTTAGCCAAAGTGATCGAAAAGTAATCTTGCTCTGCCTAGGTCTACACATTTCTACTGATTGCAACTTCATCTTTGTCATTTTTATTTTCCACAGAGAGGCTTCTTCTCCCTGCCAGAGGGACACTTCTTTATTGAACCAGTCCAGAACTCTGCTGAAGATCCTGTAGGGACGCCAGAGCCTCATGTTGTCTATCCAAGAGTTACAACAGAGAGCCAGAGAACAAAACGCAGTCTTGAGCCAAACGAGACACCCAGCCTCTGTGGAGTTCAAGGTGTGTGTGTGGAACTGCAGATGTTTGTGTTATTGTACAAAAAGTAGCTTTTTTAAAATCTTTCTGCGCCTGTGTCAAGCAAGGATAATCCTCAAGTGACCTGCCTTTTTCCCTGTTTTCCACAATTTAGATGCTCTCAGTGACTTTGTCCAAGTGGAGAGGGAGAGGGAGGAGTGGGAGAGGGAGCAGCAGAGCGAGGATCCTCGGCCCCGCTCGCAGCGCTCCGTCAGCAGAGAGCGGTGGGTGGAGACCATGGTGGTGGCGGACGCCAAGCTGATAGAATACCATGGCAGCGATAATGTGGAGTCCTACATCTTCACCATTATGAACATGGTGAGGGGTTAGAATCAGCATTTACTCTTTACATGTGCTTTCACCCATTCTCAGTTTTTGCACAGCTGTTACGTTTGAAATACTTTTAGTGCTGAATGAATTCTATGTTGACAGGTGGCAGGGATCTTTCATGATGCCAGTATTGGGAATGCTATCTACGTCATCTTGGTTCGCCTCATTCTACTCCAGGGAGAAGAGGTAACACTTTCCAAGAAATGCTAATATATATATTTTTTTCTTCCACAATGCATATATTAAAGTTGGAACAAGAAAGTTCATGCCTATCAATAAAGCATTCCTCAGCTGGGTAGTTATAAGGTGAGGTAAAGTTTGAGACTCCATTTGGCTGTAGTTCAAGCTTCTGAGTATCCAGCTAAAGAAACAAGCTACATTGAACATTAAGTAGGCCTACTCACCTTAAATTACATCAGACTTCCACGTGTCTCTTCGAGTGGGAAAAACTTGATCCTGACTGATCACGAAAACAGTCAAAATCCAGTTTGGCTCAATAAAATACCACACAAAAAACCTTATTTGCAGAACTGAATTGGCTTCCATTGACAACATTGATAAATCAAAATATCTGTTATCACCTGGTAAATGAAATTGAATGTAAATTGACGTGTGGTCCTGCTGGTACTATGCTCATACTAAAGTAGATGAATACTTTAATCTAAACATAGTCTAAATTCACTGTAAAATAAGGAAAATCAATGTTTTTCATTATAGTCAAAAATACTCTCATAATCTTCTTAAATGACATGAAAAAAAATCAAAATGATGCCAAATAAGAGCAGAATTTTGGCTTCTAACTCTGCGATTTGTTACAGAAAGAGTTGAAGATCGTTCACCATGCAGACACCACTTTGGCCAGTTTTTGTGCCTGGCAGAAAAACCTCAACCCCCAGAGTGACACCCACCCTGCTCATCACGACGTGGCTGTGTTGGTCACTAGGCAAGTGACACACACATAAGCATTTTTAGGTCAGCTTTACAAATAGATAAGAGAAAGTGGATACATTGTATATTTTGATGTGGGGTTCATGTTGGCATGTACATAATTTGCCTTTGTCTGTCCCCCCCCCCCCCCCAGGAAAGACATCTGTGCTGGGATGAACCAGCCCTGTGAGACGCTGGGTCTGTCCCACCTGTCTGGGATCTGTCAACCGCACCGCAGCTGCAACATCAATGAGGATTCAGGACTACCTGTCGCCTTCACCGTCGCTCATGAAATGGGCCACAGGTGATTTTTAATTGCTGTGTGATGCAATATAAGTATAATGGGCAGAGATGGCAAAAGTACATACATCCTTTACTCGAGTAGAAGTACAGATACTCATGTATAAAAATACTCTGGTAAAAGAAGAAGTACTGACTGAACTTCTTTACTCAAGTAAAAGTAAAGAAGTATGGGCTTCTAAATGTATTTAGGTAAAAAGTACCCATAGCTACCATCTGTTTTATAGAGTAACTGACCTCACTTTATATTAATAGAACAATAATGTCATTGTTAGCTAATGAATGTTTCGATGCTGAAAATCGGCAAATTGACACATTTTTAATTGGTCCCTCTTCTTTAGAGAAGACCAGGAAGTGAAGGATACACGAATCGTGTTAAAATCATGCAAGGCACGCAATGACAAGTATAAAGTATAAAGTACAGGTATTTGTGTTAAAAATGTAAGAAGTAAAAGTAAAAAGTTGTCAGAAAAATAAGTAGTGGAGTAAAGTACTGATACCAGAAAAATGTACTTAAGTACAGTAACGGAGTATTTGTACTCCACTACTTCCCACCTCTGATAATGGGCGATGTGACAAAGACAGAATCTCGTTCGTATGATGGTTACCATAGGGATACACAGTTGCGTTATCAAATATCCTAGCTTTATTACATTTGCTTATAAGTGAATGGGCTGGATAGTATCTGGTAACCAGACCTTGGTTAAAAAAAGATTACTTGAGAATGATGCGAGGTGCATTTCCATGAAAGTAAATGTAAATGTTTTACATGTTTATGTTTTTATGTTTTATGTCTTGTCCTTCTATGTTTATTTGTAAAGCGACCTTGGGGTTATGAAAGGCGCTATATACATTCAAGTTATTATTATTATTAAAGAACATTTTATTTTGTTTGCCTCTTAAGATAACTGCAGCCACCTCCCCAATGTTGAATCACATCAAGATAATGAACATTAGTTTTGTACAACTCTTCTGTTTTCTTAATAACTTCACTGCTTTGTACTCCCAGCAGTGGCGAACCGTGGCTATCACAACTGGACCTTCTGTAGACACACACATCCCCCGCCGCCGCCCCCCCCCCCCCCCCCCCCCCCCCCCTCCGTGGCATTATAATGTCCGTCTTTTCACTGAAATGTCGTCTTGAAAAGGGGTACTCACAACAATTCCCCAACAACTTCATCTTCACCTGTTGCACTTGTCATTTCAACGTTAAAAACAATAAAACGGCATGAATTGCTTCGTCGCATTCGTTCTAGATCCTCTGTCTCGAGCCAGTTAACTAGCGGGCCTTCTAGAGTACCTGTACCTGTAACTGTATATCTGTAGACTTGGTATGTCTTAAATGTCCGGTTAGGATGTATTAGAACGAAATCTAAAATGAAAATTGTAAATAAGCCATCTGTATGTCAAATATGTCTTATATGTCTTAAATGACATGATGAATTGGAAATGGGGGACCCTGATGTAAACAAGACGAAAGTCTTTCTCTGGTCTGCATCCCCTTAACAATTGTATGTTTTGAGCTGTACTGTACTGTACCCAATATACAAGCTGTTAATAAACTTTTCAATCAATCAATCAATCAAACCCTGGAACCGAGGGAAAGTCTGAAAGAATACGCCCATTGGCTACAAATCAATATATGATTGGTTGATCAAACTGTCAGTCCAAACGTACGCTCTCATTCAGTGCAACGGCCAGGGCATTCTATCAAGGATGTAGAATACCTTGGTTGAAGGACAATATCTGATTGGTTGCTTTCTTTTCTAACACAAAACCACTGAAATGCGTAGTGCATGGTCCGAGAAGGACAAACAAATCAACGTAACACTGTAATATTACAGATCAACAACACAGATACGATTCTCATTTATTAATTTTATATACATTTTATTTATATAATTACATCGATTTTTTGTTTGTTTTATCTGAGTGTTCCAGGGTATTCTCTGAATACCTTGAAGGCCCTGACGGTTCGCCACTGACTCCCAGGTAATGATGTAGGACATGTACAAACAAAAGGGATGTAAGACTTTGGAGTGGATTTCAAATCAGAGGATTGACGCTGTAGACATTTTATTAAGATAAAGATTTTTCAGAGGTTCAATCAGTATTTGCAGGTCCAAGAGCTGAAGGCAATCCTGGTGAAACATGTTTTATTTTGTTAGGAATCGGATAATAACATAATTGGTCTTGCTGGTTGTGTTTGAACACAGCTTTGGAATCCATCATGACGGTCAGGGGAATGACTGCGAGCTGGAGGGGAGGCACCCGTTCATCATGTCCAGACAGCTGATGTACGACAGCTCGCCTCTCACCTGGTCCTCCTGCTCCAAAGACTACATCACACGCTTCCTCGAGTAAGGCTGCATTCATACTTTATTCTGAAGCCATGGATCATAACATGATTCTCTTACTGTTCACGCTGTTTTTTCCAAGTGGTCTAGAAATTGTGTGCATTTCCAGGGTTGTGAAATCATTGTTTGAATTACAGTCATTCCAAACAAGCAGTGACTCTTAATATTAAAGTGAAAATGCTGGTGCAGATTTGAAAGGAGGTGGTGAAAATTATTGAAAAAAACCTGCAATGGTAGAACAAAAATGCAGTTATAAAGACATTCATGTGTAGCAAACCATGACAATCTCAATTTCTAGGGGGCAACAAAGATCTTACATGCCAATATGCTGTACAAGCACAATTCATTTACAGCCAGAAAATCCAACAATAATGAAAGAAAAGCAAGAGGAGCCTCAGGGAACATACGAGGGCGGTCACACTTGCACAAACAAGGCAAGGCAAGGCAAGGCAAGGCAAGGCAAGGCAAGGCAAGGCAAGGCAAGGCAAGGCAAGGCAAGGCAAGGCAAGGCAAGGCAAGGCAAGGCAAGGCAAGGCAAGGCAAGGCAAGGCAAGGCAAGGCAAGGCAAGGCAAGGCAAGGCAAGGCAAGGCAAGGCAAGGCAAGGCAAGGCAAGGCAAGGCAAGGCAAGGCAAGGCAAGGCAAGGCAAGGCAAGGCAAGGCAAGGCAAGGCAAGGCAAGGCAAGGCAAGGCAAGGCAAGTTTATGTATATAGCACCTTTCAGCACCAGGCAATTCAAGGTGCTTTACTAAAATGAAAGACATTCAGACAAAGGCATTTAAAAACAGTAAAAGATAATAAAAGAAACATTAAAAGAAAAACAAAAAATGAAAGACATTAAGAAAATGGCATTTAAAATCAGTTATTAAAAAGAAAAGCTAATAAAATAAACATTAAAAGATAAAAGTTACAGTGCAGTCTAAGATATGAATAGTTCAATTCTTTCGGTTCTTGATTTTTAATTTATTCACAGAACCTCCCTTTGGAAATCCGAACATTTCCGTCCCGATTGTTAATTTAGACTGATTGTTTTCACCATGTTATGCTCGCATGACATCCACAATCGGACCCTCAGGAGGGTGTACTAGCCCCCTACTCTGCTTTGCGTTCCATAACAAAGTCTTTAAGTGTTACCTGAACACCCCGTGTTACCAAAACACTATTTTTCACCCGTCGGTGATGTGATACTTGTTCCTCAGTACAAATCACCCAAAAACTGATCGTAAACCCTGGCTACGACGGATATCCCAAATATCCTACTTTCGAGCAGTCCCTCTCATAAATGTCATGGAGTTTAATTACGTTTAAATTTAAAACATTAAAAGAAAAAATACATGGATAAAAGTTACAGTGCAGTCTAAGATATGAATAGTTCAATTAAAAGCAGCGACAAAAAGAAAAGTCTTCAGCCTGGATTTAAAAGTAGTCAGAGTTGCAGCGGACCTGCAGGTTTCTGGGAGTTTGTTCCAGATATTTGGAGCATAATAACTGAACGCTGCTTTACCATGTTTAGTTCTGACTCTGGGGACAGAAAGCTGACCAGTCCCTGAAGACCTGAGAGATCTGGATGGTTCATAATTTAGCAGGAGGTCAGAAATGTAATTTGGGCCTAAACCATTCAGTGCTTTATAAACCAGCAGCAGTATTTTGAAATCTATTCTTTGACACACAGGAAGCCAGTGTAAAGACTTCAGAACAGGAGTGATGTGATCCACTTTCTTAGTGTTAGTGAGGACTCGAGCAGCGGCGTTCTGAATCAGCTGCAGCTACCTAATAGATTTTTTAGTGAGACCTGTGAAGACACCATTGCAGTAGTCGAGTCTACTGAAGATAAAAGCATGGACAAGTTTTTCCAAATCCTGCTGTGACATTAGTCTTTTAATCCTAGATATATTCTTTAGGTGATAGTAGGCTGATTTAGTAACTGTTTTAATGTGACTGTTGAAACTCAGGTCAGAGTCCATGACTACACCTAGATTTCTGGCTTTATCTGTTGTTTTGAACATTGCAGACTGAAGCTCAGCGCTCACTTTTATACGTTCTGACTTTGCTCCAAAAACCATTACCTCAGTTTTATCTTTGTTTAATTGGAGAAAGTTCTGACACATCCAGTCATTGATTTGTTCAATGCACTTACTCAGTGTTTGAATGAGCATAGTCTCCTGGTGAAATTGTTACGTAGATTTGTGTGTCATCTGCATAGCTATGGTAACTTATTTTGTTGTTTTTCATTATCTGAGCCAGTGGTAGCATGTAGATGTTAAAGAGAAGAGGCCCCAAGATGGAGCTTGAGGAACCCCACATATCATATTTGTCAACTCAGATGTGTATTTACCTATAGAAACAAAGTTGTTTCTGTCCTTTAGGTAGGATTCAAACCAATTTAGAACTGTTTCCGAAAGTCCCACCCAGTTTTCCAGTCGGTCTAGTAATATGCTGTGGTCAACAGTGTCAAACGCAGCACTGAGATAACTATAAGAGTTTGCCTTGACTCTGATTATTTTCTCTTTAAAACTGAGTCAACTGTGAATTTAAGAATTCCTTTCTGACAACAAAAATTGGACCTGGAGCAAATTCAAAAGAGTTTGTTGAATTTTAGTATTTTCCCATCACCCTATTTGATAGGATTCTGTGCTATAGGACAGGGGTTCCCAAACGTTGCCATGCCAAGGACCCCCATATAGCATTATCCTCTGGCAGGGACCCCCGTTGCAATTTTTTTTAATGATGTGTACATTATGATGGCAAATGTAAGAAATTAAACATACAGCTTCTTAATAAATATTCTTAATATATTTGACATACTATTCAACAGTAATATTAATAGTTAACATGTACAGTATGTTTTGTTTGTTTTGCCATTTATTCATTACATTCAGTGTGTCTTCAGTTATAAACAGTCCTTGTCATTTCACTATGTGTCTCTTTGTGTATATCTGTTCCCTCACTAGTGGGAGGGGTGGGCTTGGTGGCTCCTACACAGTTTATCAATCCTAGGTTTTAGGTTTGTCAGTGCCAGACGAATGTCATTGTCCACTTGCAAACAAGCTCTGTGCTTTGTTTTCAATACCTTCAATGTAGAAAAGCCAGACTTGCAGACGTATGTGGTGGCAAATGGAAGCAGGGATTTGAGAGCTCTCTCAGCCAGTGCAGGATAGTCTTTTTTGACATAAAGCCAGTACTGTGGGAGTGAAACAGCTTGAAATTTCACCTTCAACTCCCATTCATTCGCCATGTCTATGAGTCTCTCTTGGGACATAAGATCCATACTCTCACCTACTCCTGGGGGAAATGGGTTTCTTATCCAGTTTTGATTTGAGTTGTCTTCCAGGTCAGGGAAATATTCTTTGAAATATCCCTGCAGGTGCGCAAGGTGCGACTGGATCAGTGGTGAAATGGTGCCTGGATCAGCACCGGATGACAGAAGCGCTTGGTGAAGCTGTGGGAACATTTCTGTCACTCCCTCCTTGAGTTTGGTCGACCACAGGGCGATTTTCTTTGTAAAAGCCTGTACTTTGTCCTGCACATGTAATATGTACGTCTCGCGCCCCTGCATGCTCTTATTCAGGACATTTAGATGCTGGAATGTCCGACATGTATGCAAGTTTCCGGAGCCATGAGGCATCTGAAAAACGGCCAGCCAGTTGATGATTTTCAGAAGAGAGGAATTCACCGATCTCCCTTCGCAGTTCAAAAACACGATTTCAAACCGGAGAGACGTGATGTAAGAATTACATATTTATTGTTTACACGTCATATGAATGAAATGATTGCCATGATAGTACAACAGGAGAATGTAATGGTGTTTGGCGATTAGGCCCCCGGTTTGCAGGATAATCATTCAGGAGGGAAAGCACCGCTCCGATGAAATCCCCGGGGTCTAGACACTGGTGGTGGTGATGAGTAGGTGAGACCAGTCTGAAGGAGGAAGGTTTAGCTTTGTCCTGAAGGAGACGGGAGGCGAGAGGGGTGGAGGCGGGTTGCGTGTGATCATCTGCAATGACAACTGACAGGGAGGAAGAGCAGGTATTTAAGGCATTTAGCATGTGCAGCGATTGGCTGCTGAGGCGTGACGCCCTCATATTTAATGAGGGGGGAAGGGAGCCATAGAGTGACGTGTGAGTGACTCGAGTTAGGTCTTCCTTATTGAACTTGCGCTAAAGCTTTCATTTCAAACCGGAGAGACGTGATGTAAGAATTACATATTTATTGTTTACACGTCATATGAATGAAATGATTGCCATGATAGTACAACAGGAGAATGTAATGGTGTTTGGCGATTAGGCCCCCGGTTTGCAGGATAATCATTCAGGAGGGAAAGCACCGCTCCGATGAAATCCCCAAAACCAGTGAAGTATGAATACTGAGATGAACTGAGTTGCTTACCTTGTGGGGTGACTGGTGATCTGGGGAGGAGAGATAATAGATTAACACGTATATGAGCGACACTGTGCCGGAATCACTGCCGGAGCTTACTGGTCATGCTGAGACTCTGACTGCCGAAATCAGTGCCGGTCTTATCTGAAAACGACCTGCGGGTCGCATGCCTGGCCAGCAGGGCTTGACTACGCCGAGGAGCGAGCGGTTTCGTTTTGTAACGGTGGCCCAACGTCCACGACACCGAAGAGTACGGTAGCCTTCCGCTACGACACCGAAGTGTACGGTGGCCTACCGCCACGCCTGACTTCGCAGGCTATGGCTATATATATATATATATATATATATATATATATATATATATATATATATATATATATATATATATATATATCTCTTTATTCTTTTTCCTTTGTTTTGTAACTGACACCGAAGTGTACGGTGGCCTTCCGCCACGCCTGACTTCGCAGGTTATATATATATATATATATATATATATCTTTTCTTTACTCTTTCCTTTGTTTTGTAACTGACACCGAAGTGTACGGTAGCCTTCCGCTACGACACCGAAGTGTACGGTGGCCTTCCGCCACGCCTGACTTCGCAGGCTATATATATATATATATAT